CCTCCGACCTTGCAATCTGACCTTGTCTGTCTAGTGTTTCTCAAATCCCTAACCAATGAAGGAGCAAACGGAGCACCATTATGGACTTGCTCTTGTTGTGTGAAACGGTCCAGGTCACCGTGGGGCCTGCACACCATAACCTTGGGCATTGATCAGTCGATAAACTGCAACTCAGATTGAAGCCTTTCCGGTGAATGAACTGTCCGCAGCCGATCGGTACTCAATTACTTACAGGGCACTTGAAACTACGTGAAAGACCGTATAGTGGAGGTTTCCGTTGGTACTTAGCGGAGGTCTGCAGGTGCCAAAATCTGAGAGTACCGTTGTGCCGAATTCCCTCATTACTGGCGGGTTTCAAACTAGATAAACGTTCATGCCAATTGACATTACAGCGAATCCTTAGTCTGAATATTCAACCAATAGTATTTGATAGTTAAACTAACCATCAAGACAACGCAGTAATACACCATCTTTGTCTAGACATCATGGATAACAGTTCAGTTATTGGCAATGAAATTTTTCTAGTGTCGTGGATCACACTGTCAACTAGCACCTACAATAATCCCATTGTATAACTTTTATAGTTGTGTTGTGATTCGTCTATCGTAAAATCACCGAACTTGGTTGGTATCTTTCCCAAGAACAAAGCGAATCACACAATAAGGGAACACCAACTTAGTGAACCACTCGTCTAAATGATTTGCTGATGGACATTAGAAATGAACAGTTTCATCAATTATACACAAATTTTTTACTCTGACCCGGAGAAAGAGTTACCCATTCCTCGTGCTCATCTACGGCAGTTCTTTTCAATTAATTTTCTTACTGTGGACCAGCACTTGAATCTATCACTGTTTATCGTCAACTCTGGCTGTGGGTGGGAGGCTTAATATCGTGAGGTGGAATTGCAAGACTGAAAAGAACGATATCTGAGTTTACCCTAAGAATCCACATGTCTCTGGATTACACTGGACTGGATGAGACTCCTGGAGCGGTCTAGATGCAGGTCACTGTTGTGACATCCGAAGGTGTATTAGGCCAGTTCCATTGATTCCTCCGATCAGATGGTGTAGTTCAGGGTGCGTCATCAGCCAAACCCTCCTTCAAAGAGTGGTATTTTCCCCTGGACGTCTATTTGACTCCAGTATTGGTGAAAGGAGAAAAAACCCTTCCATGCGAATCTCACCTGAAAGAAGTCCCTGAAAAGTGAATAGAGTCAAGCATCCTCTTGAAACAGGAAACAACAGTAAATGAACACTATAGAATGGCATCATAATTTCCGTAGTAACCAGCTTCACAGAGGTGGAGCTTAAACACCAGACCATACACTACTCACATGCTTCATCAGTAGCATATACCGTTGCAATAATATTTGAAGATCTTGGCTACCGACGTAGTCATCAGCTGAATGTTTGAGGAATTCTCGGGGGAAAAAACTGCGGTTGTAGTGCCGAAAAACCCCACAATCGAGACGTTTACCTGAAAATTAAGCCAGTGTATAGCTGTTTGGGAACCATCAGCAATGCGAATCTCACGAAGCTACGTGGATTTTAGGAGCCGCGACTTCCTGGCTGATAGTTTGAACACTTAAACGTTCGGCCACGCGTAGCTGAGCAGTAGTGTGTATAACTCGCACACAGACAGCATACTGCGCCACTTATCCTTCAACCACGGAAACATCACTTGTTCACATGTGTTGACTGGCCCCTGAACTAACGACCTCTCGGATGGAAGGTTCACTCGTCATCTGATTTATTCACCGCTAACCAGACGCTATTGGCCGAGTAGTATGGTGTTTGCCTGCTAGCCTAGTGGTTGCCAGTTCGAATCACCCTGGGTAATCGTGAGATACTGACGATTCCGAATAAAGATAATTCAGTTGTACACAGCCTGTCAGCGTTTCGGTGTAAACTGGTTTCAGTTACAAGATAGTAGGTCCGTTGAAAATTACCCTGCCTGCTCACACTAATAACGAATATAAGAACTGTCAGACATTCTGACAGAAAGATGGTCCGTACTTTCGAATTCTTGAATTAATGACGAACAGGAAATTGATACCTTTTGGCATTGTGCATCTTGAGTTATATTCACGTTCGTGTTATTAGCCCACATTTAGGATTAAAGACTAGTTGCTTTGTCAACTGTCTTGCGGGATGAAATTTACTTGGTTCTAGTTAATCTGCAAAGGTTATGCCAGGGACCTACAACAAACAATTAATGACGAACAGGAAATTGATACCTTTTGGCATTGTGCATCTTGAGTTATATTCACGTTCGTGTTATTAGCCCACATTTAGGATTAAAGACTAGTTGCTTTGTCAACTGTCTTGCGGGATGAAATTTACTTGGTTCTAGTTAATCCGCAAAGGTTATGCCAGGGACCTACAACAAACGCTAGTGACAGAAGTTGCGGTTACTATGCCGAGTATCTAACGGAAACGTATAGATGCCTCTCTCTCTTTGGTGGCAAATAGTAGCCACTTGGTTGTAACACTGTTTATACGCTGAGACGAAACTGCTGAGTAAAGTTCATAGCTTTTCCCTTACTTGCTCACCACCATGATGGTTTGTCTCCGTCTGGACTAACCACTTGAAATGATTAATTCGGAATGTCCTTTCTGGGACATTAGAAATAAACAGATGATTGCATATGCATTGAAGGTGGTTCACCAATCATTATCCGGACTGCAGAAGTTGCCTCCGTTAAACCCCAGTTGATGCCTAGTTCAGCTCTGGTTCACTTTGTAGTTTGACTGGCTCAAATATGTGAATCAGCGTTTCATGATTCAATGAATACAATACAAATGAATGCAAACCCACAGTCGAACTGATTGGTAAGCAATTTCTTCTGGAGAAACACCGCTACCTAGCAGGCTATTGCGGGTGAACTTCAACTCCCATTCGCATGTTCTAACTGGCATAGCTGATACGAATTTCTCCAATGCATCGGATGGTGGGCTTGGTTTTTGATCACAAAAATACTCGAAACTTAGCCCGAAACAAATTTTGTCTTTCACCTTTTGGTCAACAAACTTTCAAATACGACGCTTGGAAAACGAAAGACGTTTTTTGACTATCATCCTAGTTTTAATATAGTCGCAAGAACCGGAGACAATCTACTTAGTTATACGTGAATTTGAAGTAACCACGGTGGCAATTTTGACTGCTTGTACGAAATCACCGTCAATCATTTTGCTATAAGATACACGGACGAAGTGAAATTGTGCTACGTATTCACTAACTGAGGTGGCAGCCGAAATTTTATGCTAGGTATCCTTCAATTTTTGCAAAACAATTTCTATCAAAAATATCATATTTATTCCCAATATTCTGAGGATGTTTTTACCGTCCACGTTTTATTTTATTTTTATACTTCCACGTCATCTATGATGTATTTCGAAAAAAGGGTTGCAGGTTTTGTTGATCCGGCACGTTTGAAACACCACCTGAGGGCGCTATAATTGATTTCAGAAAGCTAGGATTGCAAAAGCTAGTTGAGTTTTTCTAAACCTCCTCATAGGTAAGCCTTTGACCTGTAGCTGTTTGGAGCAGGTAGAATTGTTCACAACAGCGCTCAGTGTAACTTGTTTTTTCCCCGAAGGAATTGAGAGCCACTCAGAATGAGCTAACTACTCAAATCATCGTAGCTCTTTCCCCGCTCTCTCCCTCTCGAGGAGATTACCACTTATCAGAGAGCTTGTTCTCAAACATTTTCCAAGGTAATCTCTTTTCAACTGGATACACCCGTTAACCAAAAGGTTACTTGACCTTTATTGTTCACTCAATAAGACCTGATTAGAGCAAAAGTCTTTTGGGGCTTGTTCTTGGGGACCGATCAAATTTGTAACATAACTATCCAATTATCTTCCGAGCTTTTGACTTGATAGTGATCAGGTCATTCATGGTGAAACGTGAGCAAATGGTTGACACCAGTGTGCGTACTCCTCAGCTGTCAGCTTCGTTTAAGTCAAAAAGACTGTTAGAACGTGGCTAGCAATCACGCCTTACAGTCCACTCTTCAGTTGAACAATGTGTCAAACACCTGCGTGACCGGGAGTGCAAATAGCCCATTGGGGTTTCCAGATATAACAGTACCTATATTTCAAAAAAACGTTCACACCATATCTAACAAGTTGCTTAAAAAGTATTCATTTACGTATTTCTCAGTTGTATTATAGGTGGTGAGTTGGAGTAAACCAATAGTTTTTTTTTATGTGGATACATGAATGTGGTTCAATTTGGCTAGGTTATAATACTGAACATATTGGAAGACCTCTTAGAGATCCGTTCGATACCGATCCTCACTGCTCGGTAGCTGCAGTTCGTCACAATCTGTCCAGAATGATATCTTTCTCGCTTTGATTTCCTGGTTCTTTGATAAAGTCTGAGACGCATCAGTGGAACGTTGCCCCTCCTCGGGTACGTAAGCATCGTTATCCAAGCCAAGATTACGACTGACGGACACAAGTGACTTACGACGTTCTTGAATTTCCCTCGTTCTGGCCATAACCATATCTGCCACCGCCTCGTCCAAGTTAGTCTGGCGTCGATTGTGTGGAATAATACTGGTCTTACGGGATGATAGTAGCAGTCCGCGAAACTCTGCAGGTTCAATCTGTCTGGAAATCACACTGACACGCGTCGGGGTCTCTGCATCCTCTATTCCGCTGTCAAACATGGTTGGACTTGTGGACGTAGGGGTGGACTGGGAATACAACCTCTCCAAATATTTTCGTTTCAACGTCTCCGGTATGTCATCCAGAAAGACTTCTTGCTTGCCCGGCTGCATTGCAGCAAAGTGCAACTTCAAAGCGATCTTCTCGTACACATCCATAAATTTTTCATCATATGTTGATGGCTCTCGTTGGAGAATTCGGCGAAAATGTCTCTCGTCCCAGCGTTTGAATGCATCACGAATGGCGTTTCGTCCTTTGGCAGCCGTAATGATTTCAACTGCTGCCAGCGTTTCATCGAACAAATTGGACATGAGAACATTGAATAGGCTAAGTTTCTTCTTTCCTTCCATGCGGATCTTCAATCCTTTTACCAAAGGCTTCATGGTCAAACCCATGAAACCCACAGTGAATAGGATGATGACTAGGGTTGCTGTGATCATTACATCTCTACTGTAAGCCCCATGGGGACCAAGACGTTTTGCTTGAATCAAAACGGCGAGCGCAAACGCAACAGCCCCTCGCAAGCCACCGTAGACCAGTATAATTTGTTTGGCCAGCGAAAGCTTTGTACCGTCTACACGAACGGCGTTGACAACTGCTGTAATACCAAACACGACCACAGCACGAGCTATAAGACACATCACCACACTCCACAAGATGAAACCCGTATGCCAAACAAGATGTCCGCTAAGAACCTCAATTCCAAGGAAAAGAAAGATCACTGACTCGCTCATTTCGGCGATCAGTTTGCAAAGTTTGTGCACCAAATGAACCGAATCTCGTTCCAAGTTGTGAAACGCATAGGCTGCTTGGACAAGGCCACATCCGATCATGGAGATGATTCCGGACCAACCGACACAGTCAGCCATGATGTAAGAGAAATAGGCTAATAGCACAAGAGTGAAGACTTCTAGGTGACTCTTCATCCTCGTTATCAAGCATGAAGCAATACCAACGAGGACGCCGATAGCCAGCCCACCAAAGCTAACAGTAAAGAATGAAGCAATGCCGATACCAATCTGTTGTCCAGTTACATTGGGCGCACCAGCAAAGGCAGACATGATGTCGTAGAGAACGACGGTGATTGCATCGTTCAGGAGAGATTCACCAAAAACAATGTAGTACAAACTCAGTTCAACTCCAATGTCTTGAAATATAGCCAACACAGCGACCGGGTCCACTGCAACTATAAGAGAACTAAACAAAAGGAATCCGTTCAAATCAAACTGGTCACGAGGTTCTCCCATTGCACCGATAAGCATAAGCCCATACATGGCAAACCCGATAATCAGAAAGTTTAAAATGGTTCCAAGTACGGCAAAAATCAATACAACTCCAAGGTATTCACTGAAAGTTCGATTGTATAGAGAGTAAGATGATTCCAGCACAATGGGTGGGAGTAGGTAGGTGAAGAACAATTCAGGTGTGAGTTGCCAGACGGTCGCTTCGAACGAACCAACTCTGATGCCGTACCGTACAATAGCTCCGAAGATACCACCGAGTGTGATTAGAAGCAATGATTCGGGAACATATTCCGTCAGATGAGGGATGCGATGAAAAAGCATTTTGATGAGAACAATCACAAGAAGGAAGAGAATCACAGTAATGTGGACAGCGAATTCGTGAAATTCCCATCTGGCGGCATAGATTCCTGCCTCGGTTGAATTCCCCGCACTTTCGGATGCAATCACAGTTGGGTTGAGAACGGTGACAAACAGTAAAGGAGTCAATAAAACATCGAACATCCTGTTCACATCAGGCCTTTCAAGAAAATGTGAGCTCGAAATTCCTCAGTCCTTGGAACCGCTGATCCGTCCGTGTATATATGACCTTGAGAATTCGAGATATTTGATTGGGCAGCTTTGTGTTTGTGACAGTTTGCACACAGTTGTTGCTTGTTGTTTCTCTCGATCGCACATGTCATCTCGACGAAATCAACCTCTTGTCCGTCATGGTATTCGACTCTTTGACTGAGCACAGCGTAATCAAAACATGGACGGAAGTGAAGCCTACGTTCCGAAGGCGAAGTGTTACAAGCCTTGATGATAGATTGAGGCTCGGAGAAGTGATACTGATCAGGATTACGAGAAGAAACAAACTAGAGAACTATGACAAATGTTCAGTTTTGGTGTGAATTTGGTTGATCTTTTATGCTTAATAGTTTGCTCAATTATGCGCTATTCTTTCAAGATACAAACAGGCCCAATCGACTACTGGCATTCGAGGAAGTTCCCCTATCGAGACACTCTCAAAGTAAAATCCTAGAAGCCCAAATAATATGCCTCATTCAACCGTCACGACTCGAACTTCTGTGAGCTCTCTTGTTGTGCTGCCCAACGGCATCAATATTTTTAGGATCGTGGCTCAGTCGGGCGCCTTACCAACACTGCCTAGAGCAAAATACAGACATCAGTATTGCAGAGAGTAGCGCAACGAGTTCTTTGGTGAAAATAGGCCAGCTTTTTCAACAACAAGGACAATCCCTGTCAGGCCCTAATGGGGCTCAGACTCATTCTGAATGAGCAGTGTTGAATCAGTAGTATATTCAGCGGTAGCAAAGTCCAGATTGAGAATACCGCTACAGGAAACGGATCCGCGTCTCTGGACGAATACCTCATTGTTCCTAATTAATTTTTGAGGTCATCCGCTCGCAGCTGGTTATTCGTGAACAATCAGTGAACGAAAATACGGTGACAATCAGTGTCTACTGTCTCAAATCAGCGACTGAACTGGAGAATTTTTTTATATTCGGTCTGTTGTGTACCACAGTCCCTTAATGCCTTCTTATTATCATGAGTCCCGATCTGGATAGCCGATTGATAGCCTGCTGCGCTTGGCCAAACCAGAAAAAGTCAATGTACGTGCGAACCGGCTGATCTGTTGATCACTGTCACGTACAAGCGGGTCAAAAAAGTGATACTAAGACTACAACTCATCTGTCAACGACGAGCGAAGAACAACCAATGAAATCTGTCTCAACGAAGAACGGTTATTCCATTGGCTGCTATGTAGTCCCGTTACGTTCGGAGCTGGTTCTCCTAATACGGGTCCGTGCACTTATAACGCAGACTAATCTCTTCTGCTCTGACGTTCGACAGGTCCGGTGACTAAACCAGATTCAAAGTAGATCCTTCCACTATGGATTACTCATGGAGGAAAGTCCTCATTCAGGAGGACTGCCGAGATTCGTAGTTTTGTAATAACTGAATGACCCCCAAGACAGATACTCGTCTGAAAGAATCTTTTAGGTCTCTTCATATCTGAAACTTTTTAAGACAGCGACTCTGGGCATCGGATGTCTGTAGGGACTAAGTGTCCAGTTCTTTGAGAAATCTCGTAGAAAGTAAAATGTTACTGTTTCTGTGACCCTGATTTTGGTCCATTGTTACTTGCGATCCACGGATTGGTCGCCCAATGCTCCATTCCGAGGTCCTATTTCTATTACGGTGTGAGGTGATTTCCATTTCCCTGAAGGATGATCGCAACGGTGCAACTCAAATCGCCTACGGAACGAATGAGTTCCGATTCCGTCAGCTGAGTGCAGAGGGAATCCGGGTTGGCTTAGAGTCACGAAGCTCCAATTAGGGATAGTCTTGATTACTTCATTTGAGTCCAGGTTTTCTGTGAGACTAGTCGTTCACGAATATGAAACGAAAAAGAAATGAAGTATCTATTCCATGGATCTATGATTGAAAATGTTCCAGCTGAAATTCATGAAGTACTTCAGTCTGTCACTAAATTCCAAGGGTCAGTCTCCCTTCGTTGTGTCGAGCCGGAAGTGCCGCCTGACATCTGAAAACTACCAAAGAAGCAAAACGCCCCATAAATAAAAGACATCGAATTCCTGCAATCGAATAAAATCTGACACTGGTATCCTCAATTCCGCTGACAGAATTGTGATATGTTCTATCGGTCGGACGAGAATTCGAAGTGAGGAGAGCGTTGACAAGCGAAGACAAACAACCAGAATCCTTGAGCGTCCGGATTCCACTTTGATTATACAAAGCTGATGTCGCTCGAAATCCAAGCATCCGTTATTCACCATAAATTCGCAAACCAAATGTTCCACCCAGACCGAAACTTAGCATGCGCAATTCCTCCAATCACTGCTTAGCGCGAAGGTCAATCGATATTTTCGCCAAGTCTGGATGAGCTCATCTCCCATGATTACAGATTAGCCATGAACTCTAATGAGATACTTTCCAGTGATGCCGAATGACTGCGTGCTAATGTGCAGCTACGTCAAAGTGCTGACTTTCCATGCCACTACATAGTTAGACAATATAGGTATCGGCTGGTCTGCTATAATGTATCAAGAGCTAAATTTTACCAACTGTGTCGATGATATGCCAAATTTTACCACCGAATAAAACTTCCCTCTATTTCCTAATGATACCCGTCCTATTTTATCTGTGCCTTGGGAGAAACGTGAAAACTGCTCAGAACATAGTTGGACAATATATATTTACCTGCATCACTTACTGTAGAAAAACCTGAATTGTCGGTAAATTCATTTTTCAAGGGGATTTCAACACTCCCTATTAAAAAAAACATTGGTGCTCTTGATGAGCTACATAAAGAAGAATTCTTGCGACGAATACTACAACGGATTAGCTACTATCGAACACAAAACCTGCAGAAAGCTGGGGTGGGTCCGGTGGCAAACTCCGGAAAAGTTTTTTCACATTCGTCAATCACAAGTGTACATGTACAAATAACAAAAACAGACTGACGACCGTCTTAGGTTACAGTTTCCTTGCCTGAAGATTAAGAATAACTAAGTCCAGCATATCTATGGTGCTTTAGGCTCCACCTCCTCGAGGAGCTGGTCTTCCACTACCCCGTGTCACTTATCGATTGGGGTGACGCCTATGCTGATGGAACAGACTATCGTTTATCTCAAAAAGTGATTGGAAAAGTGTCAGGTCGCGCCCAGACAGAAGAAAAAGCACATGTTCAGAGAGTGACGCATCCCCAAGGTCACCATCGTTTCGACACGTCCGGAAAGTATGTGAGTCGACGGCTCCCACCAAACACGGCCTTGCAACACACGACCAGCGTAGTGGGCCTGAGAGTGTTCACGACCGGAACACCACCATTGGCTGTATGGAGCGAACAAGTGAACGACCACATTTGGCCGTTTAGTCACACTATATATTTACGCAGAGGCTCTGTACGTTTTTGTCCTGGCAATGCAGCCGTGATCCCAGTTCTCTGTCTTCTCCCTATCGCGTAGTCTGGCAGGCTCAGTGCAGGCGTAACCCCGTAGCTCGGCCACCACCACACAACACAACAAAAAGTGAGTGCAACAAAAGCAACCCAGATACAAGCCTACAACTTGAAGCCCAATATCATCAACTGAAAGATACTCGCCCACCCCAGACAATCATGAGCAGCTTTGTTACGTAATCTCACACTTCGGTTGTCGGCGTACAACCACAGAGTACCGATTAAGCTGAAGCAGCCATTCAGTCGTACAAGACATGAACAAACTCAGTATATTTGTCTGACTTGATATTAAGCACGGACTGTTCTTCACCTTTTTTTCAAATACCTTCAGATACTTCCCCTAGCTGTTACCATGTGTTTAACCTACAAAAGTATGTCTTCGATAGTCAACTAACGGAGAGAAACAAATATTGTTAGTTTTTCCATTGTGTCCTCTCACGGCTAAGCTGAGATCTACTCAAGGTATTTACTTCCTAACTATGACAGATCGTGCTCGAAAGTATGTTGGTTTCATCTAAAAGCAGACAAAGTGCCTCTAAAAAACTCAAAATCGAGTGCAGTGTCGCCTACAGGGCTTTTTCACACCAGCACAGATATTCAACTGCCAACTTCATTCAGTGTTCGAAATCTCAGCTACAAGATTGTAGTAACTGGCACAGAATTACTAGACTAGTCTAAATTTTGTGGGACAAGGACACAGGTTCAGCTCTAAAAGTGAAGGACCAGAAGACAATCGTTCAGAAAGGGTTGGCAATCGATCGGTGGATTTAGAAATTGGCACCTTAGCGGTTCTGACACTAAAGTTTTTTCAGGCCAAGTGAGTAGACTACCAGGTTGTCCAGAGCACCATGTTTCTACTTATCCGTTGACAGACCGTGTTAGAATGACTTTCCGGATACAGTACACCGTAGAGTGCAATAAGGCGCAGTCCTTTAGTGACGGAGCGTTGACAGACCGTGTTAGAATGACTTTCCGAATACAGTACACCGTAGAGTGTAATAAGGCGCAGTCCTCTAGTGACGGAGCTAGATGTATCCCATTGTAGGCGGCCCCGAGCAACGTCAGCGCCGGTGCCGCTACCTAACTGGGAAGTTCTGACGGGCGGGTCAATCAATTAACACAACCAGGACAGCTACTGGGTCGTCGTTCGAAGTGTCGGGTAAGTTAATCACATCGATCACGCGTGACACGTTCCCCTGTTTAGATGTGAAAATTTAGATGTGTCCATCGTACGTTAGCGGGTAAGTCGTAATATACTCGCCCAACATGTCAGATATCCAGATTTCAAACCCCGGTACGGACAAAAATATGCACTTCTGATGAGCTCTATTAAGAGCGAAACTCAAATCCAGTGCGATCCTCATTTGTCGGGAACTTGCCAGAATATTATTATGCCAGCACAGCCGGACGACTGTTCAAACAAGAGTGATGCGTACGTAACTAATACACTCTAGCTGCGGGGTACCCCATGACTAGAAAACCCTCGTGAGCTGTCCGTAAGTAGACGGTTGCAAACAGGCATGCAGTACTGGGGCATTCACAAACACACACACACACGAAGCACCGTGCCTGCGCGTGTATGTCTCGATAACTGTCCATACACACTGAACAACTGGTACTTTTGTCTATTCGGGATGTCTGCATCAAAAGCAGGCAACAGATTCCTCCTCTGTATATGGTTTTGATCGATAGTGTGCATACATGGCATCTCGCAGATCATCCGCCTTTTGATTTGAACCGTAGATGACTCGGCCAACAGTTAATGTCCCGCTTTATTCTGAATATTCCTACTGGGCTACGTGCCAAATCCTGGGTCAGTAAACTGAAGGATCAAAACTCGGCTTTTCAGTGTAGATTAGCTCCATTTACGGGAGGAAATCTCAAGTAAAAATTACCAAGTCTGCTAGCACTACCATCAGTGACCCAGAGGAAGATGTGTAGAACTTCCATGTGATAATTCGTCACTCGATGATAACAGATAACACTTGACCACGTGATATGGATTCAGTGACTGAAGACAGAATGGCGCTATATCCTATGTGCCGGTTAGTCACACTGGTCAGATTCCTGAAAGTAATCATAGAATGCCCGGAATCTACTGGAGCCCTCAACTCCACTAGACGCAGACCAGACAGCCTTGAATCAAAGCGAGACGGCGTCAGACAACATTAGTTCAAAGTAAGACAATTCACCCTTTATATGTAGCACGAGACAACCTTGTATCAAAGCCAGGCAACGCGAGACAGCGTTGGACCAAGGTTAGGCAGTGCCCCTCAATATAATTACTTGAGGACGTCGTACTCACGTACTCGCTCTCACCCTCACACTCGCGTTTGCGCACTCACTCGCTTGTTCGCAATAAAGCTGTTGTCTTCCTTGTCAGCTAGTCTTTTTTTCCGGCACTAGGCACTGAAGCGGGGACACAGACAGATATGATAGCTTGGCGATTCAGTCAGGCATAACAGATTAGCAGTCGTCCGCTTATGTGTTCAATTCCTGGGTGGAAGGT